GAAATTCCAGTTTAACCAGTGAGGTATGAGTGTTGAACAAGGATGGAAAAGTGGAAGGAAGCTTAAACTCAGTGCTATTTTAGTGTTTAGCAGTAACACTGAAAAAGGTGCAGATTTTCTTTATTACTTTGGCACCTCCACAGATTTAGATGCTGCTTTCCCATCCATCCCACACAGAACCAGATTTTAGAAGCAGTTTCCCAGGACATGGAAAACAGAAGCATTGTCCAGTAACTTCTGTGAAAGTTCACTTGTCAAATCTCAGGCAGTCAAGTTTCATCATGTAAAAGCTGAGGCAGGCTGAAATGCTGCACAGTGCTTCCTACCTCATTCAGCACAGAAGTGTTAGCAAATTCACCTCCATGTATTGGCACAGTTACAGTGCTTCATTTTTGCTTTTCCCAGTGGGGTCAGGCCAGTTACTCCCCACTGCTAGCTGTCCTGCTAGGTACAGCAAGGCAGTGACAGTGCTAATGGGCTTTCTTCTCTTGCTCAATCTCATCCCTGGCATATCTTTGTCTTAGTTTAACAGATATTTGGGGTTTTTTTTAGTGGCTTTCTTGGCAGTATTCTTCAGTAGACTCTCAGGTAATCAAGGGTCCATGTGAGGCCAGTGAATTGCACTGTACTTAGCAGCCTGGCCAGTGTGCACTGCCTGTGAAAATCACAGCTGCTGGGTGAAAATCACACATGCCCTTTATGAACAGCCTAGGAATTCAAAATGATAGGCAATCTTCTGAGCATCTCTTGATAGGCTTTCAAATGGAAAGACTGTCAGAAAGAAAACAAAATGCTGCTTTCTAATTTTTGAATTTATCAGAGTCACCTTAAAATTTTCCCGTGGGACAAGGGAGGCTGGAAATGTTCTCTGTTTGGAACACCTCATATTCTCATATATATGTCCATGATTTTGGGAGATTGCTCATTTAGAACACTACCAAGTTGGGCACACTGTTCTGTTGCGGCAAGTAATATTTTGTGAAAGGGTGCATACTTTTTCTTTAAACGCATAGCCTAAGGGAGTGTTCCTGGCAGAAACTTTTTTTGCGAAGCAGTGTGATAGAGTGGCCAGGGAATATATTGCATGCTAATAAAGTTCCTTCCTCAGTGTGAAAAGTGCATGCTTTGTGAGTGGCAGCGGGTCTTTTTTTACCTTTTGACATTCTGACTTGACCCATAATGAGGCATCCACCAGCATGCCTTTTCAGTCCTTTCCATAAAGCTGCCAAAACTAAAGAGATTTTTTTTTTTGAGAATAATCTGTGCCCCAGCAAGGTTGGCTGTAAGGTTTGTTTGTTTTTCTCTCTCCTGCTGGTTCCTACTATTCTCTTACTCCCACATCCTATCCAACTCTTGTTTTCAAACACATTCTTCAGCCTTCTCCTTCCCTACCTACTGCATCCTGTGTTCTGCTTTCTGACTTCCTTCTCTTTTCTCATAGCTTTTCTTTCCAGTTCCTGTTCATTCTGGTCCCTGAGGAGCAAGGAGTGAAACATTAACAGTTGCTGGAGGACCAAGTTAATATGCCTGTTGTTATGAGTTTAGAGTTCAGGTGAGGGCTCTGGGGCACATCCTTTCTGTACAACACTGTGCCTCAGAGCTCTTTGCACCACTTCATTGGTGGGGCAGCAGAGAGGAATGTATTATCTTTGTTTCACCCACTACCATCCACAGTTCTGCATTTATGATAAAAATACTCATAAATGTATCTTTTTGCTAAGATACGGACATTCCAGTTATTGCAAGTTAAACAGCTGGTAACTTCACTGCAAGTCTCAGTTGCAAAGCTGAAAAGCTTCAGGCATAGGGTGAGCAAAGCAAGTGGATTTGAATCATCACATGTGCATTGATAAGGGATATAGGAGTTGCATTTACTTTGACAGTGATTTGAAAAACATGTCATTTCACATGACATAAATTCACTGTGTGTGCATCTGTGTCTTTTCTAAGTTGTACTGTTGCTTTTACAGTAAGGCTTTTACATTGGTAGGGGATATATCTGTGTTTTCTGTGCCTCTTTGTCAGTTGAGGATCACCATCCTCATAAATTTGTGCTTACAACATCTGCAGGAACTTCCTGTGCTGATGTCAATATATCCTGAATATAAATCACAGGTATAAAATACTTACATTAGTAAGAATTTCTCCATTGAAACATTGCATGGCTAAGGCTGGAAAATGTAGGTCTTCATTATCTCTGTGAGGATACACCTCATTTGTGTAGCATGAGCTTTTCTAATGTCTGAAAATACAGCTTTAAAGACTATATAAAGAAGAACATTTTCCAGATGAGGTTAGCTGTAGCCCAAAGGTGTCTGATCCTTGCAGTCCACAAAATCTACTGTTGTAAATGGAAATGTGGCTGGACTGAAGAACTTTTTAACATAATAGTCACTGTGCTGGCAAATTTATCTTTCTGCATTTCTTATGTCTTTAATGCCCATGCGGTTGTTAGTTGTATGATAAATCAATCTTCTGTCCTGCTAGTTTATTTTTATTGGTCCATTTATGTATGGCTTCATGTAGCAATTAGTTTTAATTTTTAATCTTATTTTACACATTTTTGTGTATGCAAGAGATAAGGAGGAATCCACTTGTAAAACAAATCTAGTATAAATGGCTTGGTGAGTAGATATACCTGTCTTGCTGGGGTATAGTATACTTTTGCCAACATAATCCTAACAGAAAAATAAATGAAATTAAATTTATTAATTCATTTATTACATGAAATTAATTAAAACATGACATATTTTTTATCTTTTCCTGTATAAAATGTCACTGCTTTTCAGAATTCTAGGTGATTTTATATAGTTTTCAGTTTTGTAATTTAACATACTTGGTTTGAGAACTTAACTGTAGTAGATTGAAAGATGACCTAGGTTATTAAGAGAAATAAAAAAAAAAAGATAAAATAAAGGTGATTTAAATAATGGAGAAATACACCTATACAAGTGTTAGTTTAATGCATCTCTTCTAACTTGTTTCAGGTTGAAGAAACTTCTTGAGCAGGAGAAGATCTATCAAGCCCGGAAGGAGAAGGAACATACAAAGAGACTCGGTAGACTGAGAGAAGAACTAGTCAAGCTCAAATCATTTGCACTCATGCTGGTGGATGAAAGACAAATGCATATTGAACAACTTGGTCAACAAAGCCAGAAAATACAGGACTTAAGCCAAAAACTAAAGGAAGAAGAAGAAAAGCTTAAATTTATTAGTGCAAAAACAAAAGAAGATGGACAAAAACTGATGAAATTAGAGGCAGAACTTGAACACAAAACATCATCGTTTTCTCAAGAACATGAGGAGATGACTGCTAAACTGGCTAATCAGGAGTCACATAATAGACAGCTAAGGCTTAAACTAGTGGGGTTGACACGGAGAATAGAGGAATTAGAGGAGACTAACAAAAATCTTCAAAAAGCTGAGGAGGAACTTCAAGAACTAAGAGATAAAATAGCAAAAGGGGAATGTGGGAACTCTAGCTTAATGGCAGAAGTGGAAAACCTCCGCAAGCGTGTGCTTGAAATGGAGGGGAAGGATGAAGAGATCACCAAAACTGAATCCCAGTGTAAAGAGCTGAAAAATAAACTACAAGAGGAAGAGCACCATAGCAAAGAGTTGAAACTTGAAGTGGAAAAATTGCAGAAAAGAATGTCAGAATTAGAGAAGCTGGAAGAGGCTTTCAGTAAAAGTAAGTCTGAATGCACCCAGCTACACTTAAACTTGGAGAAAGAAAAGAATTTGACTAGGGATTTGGTAAATGAGTTGGAAGCAGTAAAGACTCGAGTGAGAGACCTTGAGGCATCAGAAAGCAAGTTGGAAAAGGCTGAAATAAGCTTAAAGGATGACCTTACAAAGTTGAAGTCATTTACTGTCATGTTGGTTGATGAACGAAAAAATATGATGGAAAAAATAAAACAGGAGGAAAAAAAGGTTGAGGGTCTGAACAGGAATTTTAAAGTTGAACAAGGGAAAGTTATGGATGTAACAGAGAAACTGATAGAGGAAAGTAAGAAATTTTTGAAACTGAAATCTGAAATGGAGGAAAAAGTGTCTAGTTTGACAAAGGAAAGGGATGAGTTAATTGGCAAACTGCGAAGTGAAGAAGAAAAATCCTCCGAACTAAGCTGTAGAGTTGACCTGTTAAAGAAAAGAATTGATGGTATGGAGGAAGTAGAAAGAGAAATTACAAGAGGTCGAACCAGGAAAGGACCAGAGCATGGCTGTCATGAGGACAACAAGATTAAAGAACTTACTGTTGAAATTGAAAGACTGAAAAAACGTCTCAAACAATTGGAAGTGGTTGAAGGAGATTTGATGAAGACAGAAGATGAATATGATCAGCTAGAGCAGAAATTTAGGACTGAGCAGGATAAAGCTAACTTTCTTTCTCAACAGCTGGAGGAGATGAAACTCCAGATTGCCAAAACCAAAGCGATAGAAAAAGGCGAAGCAGTGAGCCAGGAGGCAGAGCTGAGGCACAGGTTTCGTCTGGAAGAGGCCAAAAGCAGGGACTTGAAAGCAGAAGTTCAAGCTCTTAAGGAAAAAATCCACGAGCTGATGAACAAAGAAGACCAGCTTTCTCAGCTCCAAGTCGATTATTCAGTTCTGCAGCAAAGGTTTATGGAAGAAGAAAATAAAAACAAGAGCATGGGGCAGGAAGTTCTGAACCTAACAAGAGAGCTGGAGCTTTCTAAGCGTTACAGCCGTGCCCTGAGACCCAGCATAAACGGACGAAGAATGGTTGATGTTCCTGTGACGTCCACCGGCATGCAAACAGATGCTGTAAGCAGTGAAGCAGCAGAAGAAGAAACTCCAGCAGTGTTCATAAGGAAATCCTTCCAGGAGGAGAATCACATCATGAGCAATCTGAGGCAGGTAGGTCTGAAAAAACCCATGGAGCGTTCTTCAGTGCTCGAGAGATATCCTCCAGCAGCGAATGAACTTGCAATGAGGAAATCTTGGATACCATGGATGAGAAAGAGGGAAACGGGGGCTCAGGCAACACCTGAAAAAGGAGCTCGAACCCACGGTAGTCCAGCGCATCCTGGGGAGGTTGTCCTTTCACCAAAGCAGGGTCAGCCTCTTCATATTCGGGTGACACCAGACCATGAGAACAGCACAGCTACTTTGGAGATAACCAGTCCAACCTCAGAGGAATTTTTTTCAAGTACCACTGTCATTCCTACTTTGGGAAATCAGAAGCCACGAATAACCATCATCCCCTCCCCAAATGTTATGCCACAAAAAGGAAAAGGCAGTGAAAGTTCCATGGGCTCAGATCGTTCTATGTCTCCAGTCACTATAACAACATTCTCCAGGGAAAAGTCCCCAGAGGGAGGGAGGTCACCCTTCGCTGACAGACCTACGTCGCCAATTCAGATTATGACCGTATCAACGTCCGCAGCACCCGCAGAAATCTCTGTCTCTCCGCAGTCACAAGATATGACCATGGGAAGGGCCGTCTTCAAAGTGACACCAGAAAAACAAACCGTTCCAACTCCAGTCCGCAAGTACAACGCCAACGCCAACATTATTACGACAGAAGACAACAAAATCCACATCCACTTAGGTTCCCAGTTTAAACGCTCTCCCAGTGCTACGCCTGATGGTGCGAGTCCTGTGATAACGGTCAGACCAGTGAACATAGCAGCAGAGAAGGACGTTGTGACCGGTACTGTCCTTCGGTCGCCCCGGAACAACCTGTCCTCACGACCTGCAGCGAGCAAGGTGACAAGTACTATCACTATAACACCTGTTACATCATCTTCCACCCGAGGAACGCAATCAGTGGTAAGCAGCTTAGTGTCATGATGTATCTTGACACTATGATGATGATAAAGCTTAGTTGCTTTGTGGTGAGCAACTATAGCTGGGTTTGGGGTGCCAGCAGGGAAAATGGGTGGGGCGAGGAGAAACACATGACTTCCCTACATTTGTTTCAGATAGGAGCTTAACTATAAAATCAGAATTTGCCTGTTTCGTATATTTTTCTACCAGTGTTGGATGCTAGTAACTTTGAAAGGAAGTCCCTTCAAAGTTCCTTTATTTTCATAATGGCAATCCTGTAAAATTTCAAGTGAGAGACAGAAAGGGACAAAGAATGATGGAGATGACAGATCAGGAAACTTTTTTTGTGAGTCTGATCACGCAGGCTGCTATTTCTTTGGTATAATGCTATTACATTTATAATTCAATTGACATCTGATATAATACTGAACTCCAGAGGGATAAATAGGCAGACATGGTATCATTGCTTACAGCTCCAAGGCTCTTCCAGCCAGTAAAGAGTAAAGCTCTTTCTGTTCCTCTGAGAGTCATCCTCTCTAAGTGCTCTATTACAACAGTAATTCCTCTAACATATTTTTTTTTTCTGCTTTCTCTCTATGCCTCTGGGATGCTACCCTGGTTTATTTTTTGTACGTAAATCAGTCTCTCACTTCTGTCTTTAAATGTACTGGACGATGTTCAGCGATAGTCCTCCCCCCAGGTTTATTATTGGACATGGTTTTGCTTGCTTTAGTTGGAAATATCCTGCGAAAGAAGAATTTAACCAAAATAGAAAACCAGCAGTACTGCATTAGTCCAAAAGCTTATTTAGCTAGACAGAGCCTGCAGCAGATGCTTAGAGGAAGACTATTTTAGGTGGTAAACACTCAGTAATGTTTCCCTCGGCGTCCATTCCCAGTTTTTGGCAATAGGTGGGTACTTCATTCTGAACTGGGGCCTGTAGCCACGTCTTTGTGTTTAACAGACCGTGGTGGAGTTTTCTTCTATTTTTTCTTCTAATTGGTTTCTGAACTCATTTATACTGTTGTTTCCACAACATCAGGGGGCAGCGAATTCAGCTGTGGGCTCTGGGAAAAATGCTCTTTTGTCTGATACCTTTTATGCAATACCTTCATTGGTTACAGCCTCTTTCTTGTATCTTGACAAATACTGAATAGTCATCCCCTGTTCATTTGTCTGTGCTGCTCGGGAGCCTGCAGACCCCTACAACATGCCTCTTCAGCCATCTCTTTCCAAGCTGAATGTCAAAGTGCATTTAAGAGACACTTCCACACTTTTGGAGGAAAGCTGCCATTCCCATTTAAGCCCTCTGACTTAAGAAAACTTGCATTCTTCATACAGATTTCTTTGGCACTCCACATGGCCCTCTCTCTCCCCACACACGTATAATGTATTGTACTTTGCTGTAC